TTTTGGTTGCAGCCGTCATTGTTGTTTGGCGGGTCCGGGCTGGGGATTCAAACCCGCCACCTTAGGTGTACGTGGCTGGCGCCTTAGCCACTGAGCTACAGGCACTGAACCATGTTTTTGTAGATTCTTTTGGATTTTTCTCTATATATAATTTTGTCATTTGCAAGCAATGACAATTTATGTCTTCCATTTAAATTCTTACAGTTTTTATTTCTTTTTTTGTCTTATGTATTGGTTAAAGCCTTTATTACAGTGCTGAATAGAAGTGGTAACAGTGGGTCTTGTTGCTGATCTTGAGTAAAGGCAAGCTTTCAATATTTAACCATTAAATAAAATGTTTGCTCTTTGTTTTTTATAGATATTCCTTATTAGATTAAGGACTGTTGCCCCCTATTTTTTTAAAAGTATTTCCTCGGGGTTTTATTTATTTTGTTTGTTTATTGTGAATGAGTATTACATTTTATCAAATTGTTGCTTTTTCTTAAAATTGAGGTAAAATGGGCCTGGCATGGTGGCTCATGCCTGTAATCCTAGCACTCTAGGAGGCTGAGGTAGGTAGATTGCTTGAGCTCAGGAGTTTGAGACCAGCTTGAGCAAGAGCGAGACCCCATCTCTAAAAAATAGTTGTTGTGTTGTGATGACACCTGTAGTCCCAGCTACTTGGGAGGCTGAGTTAAGATGATGGCTTGAGCCCAAGAGTTTGAGGTTGCTATGGGCTATGATACCATGGCACTCTACCAAGGGTGACTAAGTGAGGCCTAGTCTTAAAAACAAAATTGAGGTAAAATTCACATAATGCAAACTTTAACTATTTTTAAAGTGTACAATACAGTGGCATTTAGTATATTCACATTACTATGCAACCACCACTCCTATCTAGTTTGAAAACATTTTTATCACCCCAAAAGAAAATCTTAAATCTATTAGGCAACCATTCCCTATTTACCCTTTTCCCAAACCTTAGCAATCACAAACTGCTTTCCATCTGTATGGATTTATCTATTGTGGATATTTCATATAAATGGAATCATATAATGTGTGACCTTTTTTGTTTGACTTCTTTCACTTAGCACAGCGTTTTCAGGGTTCAGCCATGTTGTAGCATATACTTCTTTGTACTAATGGATGCTACTTAATCTTTCATAAATGACATATATAGTTGGACTTTTTTTTTTTTTTT